AATATCTTTTTTCCCTTTATTTTTGGAAAATTTCAGTTATCTGGGGAAAAAGGAAATTGTATCTTACTAGCTCTATTTATTGGATAATCTTCTGAGCATGGAAGAATATCAAGGGATTTGAGTAAGATTTTTTTGTTGTCATTAGCTGACTTTGGTATCTGTATCTGGGTAGGGTGTATATTTTTAAGGATATTTTAGGCTTATGGGATATATCAAGAGATGTTTGGGAGTAAAAGATACTTTTACCTCCCTCTTTTTTAAACTTTTACCCTTTTAAATAAGAACAGCCTCTTAGGCTCTAGTGTCTTTTATTCTTATGAGATCACTAACTTCCTTATGGCTGAGCCAACACATGGAGAGCTTGAGACCCTTTTCTCCTGTAAAGGGGGGAGTGATTTAATAGTAGAGCATGCGTTAGGCTCTTTGACTCCTTATCCATTTACTTGCCTTGCCCCTTTTCAAAGATCATTGATCGTTATCTCTGTCTTTAGGAGGGTCTTTGGCACAAACAGTTCATCTGCTGCCCACAAGATGTTATACTTTAGGTCCTGAATGTTATTTGCTTTTTGTTTAACACACTATCTTACAAACGGCTTTTGAATACAGTTTTCCCATTGGTGGAGGCTGAAGTTGAGTTACTGACAAGATGGAGATCTGTTTAATTCCCTAGACCATTTGGCTAAGAAATGTCTTTCGTTACTTTGGAGGCACGGAGTTGCTCTTCATTCATCTCTTGATGGCTTTGTAGAGGCAGTGGTAGCAGTCTGATTAACAAAAGTTACTGTTTCTGAGCTCTGGTTCTTGGGATTTGGTTTTTTATCATTGGCAGAAAAAATAATAGATGTTAAGGGATTTGTTTTCAGTTGTGGATGGAAAATCAGGCATGGAGTCCCAGTCCTAGAATGCAAGCCTTAGCTGTTTTCAGCAAGGATCTGGTTTGGAAACAAGGAATGATAAGTGTGTGTTTATTTCTTCTGAGTAGAAGTATAGCAGATTTGGGAGGTTAGAATCAGAAATCTGACTTGTGGCTGAATGAAAGACTGTGTGATGCTGCTGTCATCTTGTTAATATGAAAGAGTTGGGTGTAGCTTCATGCATTTCCATTGTTAATTTCACAGCATGAACTGACTTTCGTGCATGATCTTTTTGTGTTTTCATGATAGCAAACATCAAATTCCCTCTTTTATTTAAAAAGAAATTCAAACCTACCCTTAAAATATCCACAGGTACAGTGGGAATTGTGTTTTGGGGGCAGATGTTCTCATTCATAAGCAAAATTTCATTGGTTGTTTTTTCTTTTCTTTTCTTTTTTGTTTCAGGACTTGATTTCATTGGGGTTGAGGGGTCAAATTATCCCCGAAAATTTGAGACTGCTCCTGGTATGATACATCCAGGCGCCTAACTGCCCCGGATATTTTTATAGATTTTTATGAATTGAAATATCTGTGGATATGTCATTTTTCTGTCGTCCTGCTTTTTACCTTTTCTGCCTTTCTCTCTCATACTCTGTGCCTGCTTTTCCTTCTTAAAAAATTTTGTCCCTTAGTGAAGATTTAACATTTACATTGACTGCTGTCTGCTGACAGAATGGAAACCTCTCTCTGTCATTCAGAGCCTTTGCCGTCTTTCTTTTCCTTTGTGCCCCCTCGGTACAGCCTTCTTGGCCACGACTGCACATCCTGTATGGGATCAAGTAGGCATCTCCATTCCTCCTTTCCATCCCAGATGCAGTCTCCAGAGTGCAGGGAGAGAGCCTATCAATAGGAGGTTACTTCCAACTCCAGGATTGTGTATATGGACAGGTTTTGGGTTCCATTTATCCAGGGCAAGACAGATGTCCGTGCAGAGGAAGAGCAGGGTCACCAGGGAGCGAGAAGAATGTGCTTTGTAACTTGTCTGAACTGAAATTGGACTTTAGTTTGATTTGGAGAACATTGCCATTATTAAGTGGTTTGGAATTTCCCTGGTCCAGTTATAACACCCTGGGAGAGGTATTATAATGAACATCTTTTTCTCTAGCAAATAGGGTTCTTTCATTATTAAAAGTTCAGAAGAATTTCATTTTTTTTTCTTAAGATTTTATTTTGACATATTCTCCACACCCAGTGTGGGGCTTGAATGCACGACCCCCAACGTGAAGAGTCACATGGTCTGCCTGAGTCAGCCAGGCGCCCCTAGAAGAATTTCAGATGGGTTCTGTAGATTTATTTATTTATTTATTTTTAGATTTTATTTATTTGACAGAGACAGCGAGAGAGGGAACACAAGCAGGGGAGTGGGAGAGGGAGAAGCAGACTCCCCGCGGAGCAGGGAGCCCGATGTGGGGCTGGATCCCAGGACCCCAGGACCATGACCTGAGCTGAAGGCAGCTGCTTAACGACTGAGCCACCCAGGCGCCCCAGGTTTTGTAGGTTTAGAATATTTCTCTTCAGTGACAGTAAAATATCTGAATGGCAGACTTTTATTCTTTAAGAAGGTTTCTCCATTTGGAAAGAAGACTTTAAGAGTTAATCAATATGTACTCTTCTTCTAGAGAAGAAAATAAGGAGTGTTCTTGTCCTTTTCTATAGGCAGGTTGTTATTTCTTGCTGTGGTCCTTGTTGACGGGAGGAATCCTGGCTTTCATAGAACAGTTTCCCTTTCTGAGGATCTGTGTATACGTGAAGCAAAGCAAGGGGAGTGTGGAAGGTGGTTTGATTGCTGATGGACCTTTCCTATAGAAACTATCCTGACTTCATTATTACCACCATGAGGAGGGTGTGCACCTGCATTGTCTGTGCAGTGCCCCTTGCAGGTTAGCTGTCACATTCTGTAGGATTAGGGTTAGGGTAATAACTAACAGACACATCTGATTTCTCAGTTTTGGCCAGTGTCTTTTGAAGAGAGCAAGACCCGTGAGGGTTTCTTAGGGTTAGACCAATAAGATCTATAAACTTGACTGCTACTGAGTATACATTTTTAAATTGAGTTCCTATAGCAGATAGTTGTCCGTGCCCTTAGTTTGGAAGCTGGTCCTTCTTCTCTGCCGTCCGCTATGGTGTGGCAGCCATTTGTGTTCCTCCTCACTGCTCTCTCCAGACTGCCCACAGTGTTGTCTCATACCAGATGAGTAGGTGTAGTTTATGTTCCGGTTTAAATTGGCTGCTGCCGTTTCGCTTGAACTGACCACTAAGTCGGAGGGCTGAAGGGTTTAAGAGTTTGCCTGGAGCGTTGGGTCTGTTGTCCCCCGGCTCCCCACTCCCACTGTCTTTGCTGTTAAAACTGTGTAACAAGGGACGCCTGCATGGCTCAGATGGTTAAGCATCTGCCTTCGGCTCAGGTCATGATCCCAGGGTCCTGGGATTGAGCCCCGCATTGGGCTCCCTGCTCAGCGGAGAGCCTGCTTCTCCCTCTCCCTCTGCCTGCCTGTCTGCCTACTTGTGATCTCTCTCTCTCTGTCAAATAAATAAATAAAATCTTTAAAAAAAAACCAAAAAACAAAACAAAAACTGTGTAACAAAACTTGAAAGTAGGTGTGAAACCATAATCTTATTAAAACTCTGGTGTTCTGAGGTATTACTTTCTAAATAGTCTTTTTCTCCTCCTGGAGCCTAGGAATCCCTTCTGATTACTAAAATCTGGTTACACTTTTGGCTGCCAAAATGTTAATACACTAGTGTTTTTTTGCACATGCTTTGTACTGGCACTTAAAATTACTTCACTGTTTTTTTCTTTATTGCCAGGTGCGTGGAGGACTGCAACAGAGGAGTGGGGAACTGAAGATTGGAATGAAGATGTAGGTATTCCCAGGTCATTCCTCACTAGTGCCTTCTATCCCTAAGTGGTGTTTAGGGATAGAAAATGGGTATGTTTCTACCCCTCAAAATTCACCCTTAAGATTCTGACCCAAAACTTTTACATCCAAAATAGTGTTCTGAGCCAGAACATTTCACATATGTTATATGAAGGAGACTGGGCATGAACAGGACTCTGTGGAACCAGACTATGGAAAGGGCAAGTGCACCTGTGTAAGTCCAATATCTGATTGTCGGATTTATCCCAGGAAGAGATGGTGGTTGGGTTAGGGCAGGAAATGGAGTCAGGCACGTAGTGCGTTGAGTAACAGCCGCTGGTGACGCGTGACTACCGGAGCTAGTTCTGTTATTTGGTTCACATTCAGGCATGGGTGTATGGTCCTGGAATTGGCTTGGAGGTGGGTACAAAGTGAAAGATACCGTACCACGCCCTCAAGTTTACAATCTGGTTGGTTCTGGAACCCTTTTACTTACTTGAAGCCCAACTTTGTAATTGAGACAAATATATAGGACTGGCCGTCTTCCAGCTTGACTCGGCTTGGAAACCTTGTACATGGCTGGTGCAAAGGTGGCATGTAAACAAGCTCTGTGACTTCACTGGAGTGGTACCTGAGTAAAAGAATTTTGCTGATTCTTGGTCCCAGTCAAGTTTTTGTGATCAATTCTACTTTTCAGTGATATGGATTAACTCCTTTTGTAACATTTTTCAGTCTACTTTCCTATACTTGTATATATTCAGGCAAGATAGCTCATATGGGAAGAGAGTGATATGTCAAACTGTTTTGGTTTGCCAGGCCCGAGTTTTTAAAATTTCAGATGCATCAGCATCAGAGGGTGATTCTTTTCTGTTGTACCTGAGCTAGACTGCCTTGTGAATACTTTCTAAGATTTGGCTTGTCTGGTTAAGCAACTTTCAGAGAACTGTCTATTTGGGGGAGTGGATTCCCTGTTTTTAGAAAAGAGATTTTAATCAAAAAGTGAAAACAAAACCAAATCAAGTTTTGAATAGTAGGGTAAGTTATTCCCTAAAATTGCTTACTGAATTTTAGGGTCTTATACTGCAAAGACTAGGTGTAATAAAGTCACCATTAAGGCAAAAATTGCGTATTGTTGAAATTATCCCTAAAAAGACCTTAATTCACCAGGACTTGGGTCCTTACTGCTCAAAAGCTAGGAATTAATTTCTTTTATTTCTGTCTTTGTCTTGGCTGTAACCTTTCTTTCTTTGAGAGGAGCAGTGGAAGATAAAGTTTGGTTTGGGTCGAGGTGGGAGTTGGGAACTCTGATGGGAAGGTATAAAAAGGTTTTCTCTCTTTTTCTGTGTAGCATGTGTATTTAGCTTCTTGTAAGTTTGGTGTGCATATCATGTGATTCCACTATATTTTACCAGGTTTCTTGATTTTACTCTCTCTTTTGATAAAATCATTGAGCCTGTTTAGAAGGGGCATGGAGGTCAGTCCATGTAGGGTTCCTTTGGGTAGGTGGTTTTCTCTTCTGAGGGTTTTCCCTTTTCCTTGGTGTTAAATTCCCCTTATCTATGCCAGGTTTCTGACTGTAGCCCACCTAACACCAGGAGTGACTAATCCCTCTGTTTTCCAGCTGTCTGAGACCAAGATCTTCACTGCCTCTAATGTGTCTTCAGTGCCTCTGCCTGCGGAGAATGTGACAATCACTGCTGGTCAGAGGCAAGTGTGTGGTAAAGTTCAGCATCTTTTCCCAGAGGGGCCTGATGAGAGAGCTGTAAGGAGAGTGGCACTGGGCCTTTATAAGCTCCCATGGTGTTGGTAGAATGGTAACCTAAAGCATACTAGGTTCCTCTTTAGGTGATTGATAGGTCTATAGGAGTTGATCTATTGAACGGAACTCCATATATTATAATTTTAAAGATGATTCTCTCCAAAATAGCTTTTTTAATTACGTAGGTCAATCTAAATTAAAACTTAGCACGATATAACTTGTATTAAGGTAAATTTAAACATGGAAGTGTTTTCATTTATTTGAGTTTGCAGAACTGTTCAGTAGCTTCTTTTCTTGCTTTATAATTAAGATTTTTGTCCAGTGAGCCTACTGAGTAAAGTGATCATTTTTACCGTAGGATCTGGCTAATGAACTTTTATGAACTTGAATCCTAGGTATTGGGGGTCAGTAGAGGGGAAACACTTACCAGGAATATTTTTATCTTTGGAAATCCCCTTGGATTATTTCTAGACCTGGGTATGATAGCTGTTGATTCAGAGGCCCTGAATTGCACTAGAAATAGGATGTTAGGTCCATCACCCCCAGAGCTGATGCGTATTGTTTTTCTGACACCAGTTCTTCAGTTCTTTGACACCAACAAGGTGTTCAGTAATTCAGTTCGGACACTATCCAGTGTTAGCACAGACCCTAGTTGACACCTTTATCCCACCAGACTGCCCTTGCTTCAGAGGTCAGCTGCAAATGGGGTCCCAGGCTATCCACACACTTCTGCCTGGCTGACTACAAATTTGGGGATTCTCACAGCCTTCTTAGGTTCAGTAGTCCACTAACATGACTCGCAGAACTCAGGGAAGAGGTACCTTGCCATCACTGGTTTGTTATAACCAGTACTCAGGAACAACAGCCAAATGGAAGAGTTGCATACGGTGGGGCGTGGGGTCGGGCACAAAGCCCCTAAATTTCATTACTTAAATAGGCCTGATTGATTAAGCCATTGGCTATGAAAGGCAGTCCCCAGCTCCCTTTCAACCCTAAGAGTGGGTAGATTGTGCTGGGGCTGAAAGTTCTAAACCTTTAAATCCCTTCCTGGTGTTTCAGGTGGCAGCTCCCTTCCTGAAGCTATGTGGGGGTGGGGGGGGGTCCCACCCTGAGTAACCTCATTATCATAAACTTTGGTTGGAAGAGGCTCATTATGGGGCAGCTGGGTGGCTCATTCAGTTAAGTGTCCACTCAGTTTCGGCTTAGGTTGTGATCTCAGGGTCATGAGATGGAGCCCCATGGAGGGCTCCATGCTGGCCATGGAGTCTGCTTAAGATTCTCTCTCTCGGGGCGCCTAGGTGGCTCAGTCAGTTAAGCATCTGCCTTTGGCCCGGGTCATGATCTCTGGGTCCTGGGATCGAGCCCCGCATCAGGCTCCCTGCTGAGCAGGGAGTCTGCTTCTCTCTCTCCTTCTGCCCTCCCCACCACTCATTCTCTCTCTCTCAAAATCGTAAAAAGGATTCTCTCTGTCATAAAAATAAAATAAAGAGGCTTATTATGAATAACAAAAGACGTTCAGGAAATTTTAAGTGTTTCAGGAGCTCTGTGCCAATAACTGGAGGCAAAACCAAACTTTTTTATTATACCACAGGTAACTTTGGAAATTTTATAAAATTGGAGGGGAAATTCCAAAGACACTTGAAGAAGATGCCAGTATTCTAGTATATGTTTTTACATATTGGGTATTGGTAATGACAGGTATTAAGTATTAAAATATTGGCTAAAGAATTGTAATTTTGGCCCAAATATCAAGCTGCTGTATTAAAACTAACATTTCGTATTCCCTTAAATTGATTTCACTAAATTGAAATATTTAACATTATTATGGTTGACAACGCTATTGGAACACAGCTAGATCCTATAGTGGCTCTTACATGTCAATTATTTTGGTAAATGAAGCATTTCAGGTCTTTGTGTTATTGATGAGTGACTTCATTTTGATCTAACCATAATTTGAGTTGGGAGTTGGGGAATGCTAGAATGTTCTGTCATTATTCATCAAGATGTTGCATCTCCCCACTAGAATTGACCTTGCTGTTTTGTTGGGGAAGACACCATCTTCAGTGGAGAATGATTCATCTAATCTGGATCCATCTCAGGCTCCTTCTCTTGCCCAGCCTCTGGTGTTCAGTAATTCAAAGCAGAGTGCCATAACACAGCCTGCTTCCGGAAACACATTTTCTCATCACAGTATGGTAAGTAGGAATCATGGTGTCTTCTAACCACACTTTCCTGTCAACCCCAGCACATACATGCAGTACTGCCTTCTGGTGACAGAGATTTGGGGCAGGGTAAAGCATCCCCTTTTGTCTTCTAAGCAACCTTGGGTGTAGAGACATAGGATTGGGTAGTAGGGGTGCTGCCAGAGGAGGACTTCGTTTTGGACACACTGAATCTTCTTCTAAAAATGAGTGCGCATCACTTACTGAATAATCACTGTGCTGAACGTTATTTGCTCTTAAAGAGAAGAAAAAATGACATCAAATTTTAATCCTTTTTAAATCCTAATTGAACTTCGATGGGAGGTTGTAGCACTTCCCTATTTGTTGATAGAACAGAATTGCCATATAAATTTGTTTAAACCAGACATTTCTGGACTAGGCTTCCAAAAACTTGAAGTTTTCGTGAAAGTTTCTACTTACTATCTATTACTCCCGTTCTTAGGAAGCAGGGGTAAGAGTACTTGCTTTGCCTGCCTTACTGAGTTGTAGAAAGATGAAATAAGGTCGTGAATAACGGCTATACGAATGTGGGAGCGCCAGTGGTATTGTTTATTAATACTTGGAGTACTTACGGCATGTGACTTACTGATTCAGTTAAAAAATTTAAGGTCATTAACTATAGCAAAGAAATCATTTAAACTAAACAAAGACGATAAACCAATATTTTTTACTATTACTTGAGTTGTCACAGAAAGGAAACTTTATTTGCAGCAAATAAGGAGATCACGGGGGGACCAATTTTTTTATAGGCAGCAAATCCTAAGAAGAACTACTTTCCTTTTTTTCTTTTTTCTTTTCCCTTCCTGTCTGTTTGTTTATTTTTTGGTGGAGGGATACTGTAGTTGTGAGAGGTAAGAGACCTTGTGTGTGCATATAATTTTATTTTTCCAGTAGTAGGATTATAGTAATTATTTTAAATATAAAACTGCTGAGTTAGTCTCTAATCGGAACTGTCAGTTTTTTAACTATTGTCTAAAAATTTTTCTGTGCGTGTCAGTAATTTGGTGATTGATGTTCTGCCATATATGAAAGGTGACAAGTGAGGAAAGGTGGGGAAGAAGGGACAGGGAGCAGAGCGTCGGGATTAAAAGAGAGAGAATGAAGGACGCCTGGGTAGCTCAGTTGGTTAAGCATCTGCCTTTGGCTCAGGTCGTGATGTCCTGAGATCGAGTCCCGAGTGGGGCTCCCTGCTCAGTGGGGAGCCTGTTTGTGCTCGCTTCTGTGAGCACACGCGCGCACATGCCCTCTCTCTCTCTCTCTCAAAAAAAAAAAAAAAACTCAAAAAAAAAAGAGAGAATGAGACAAAAGCCGTAAGAAGGGGTCATAAAGTTAAGGAAATAACTGCCAACCCTTGAGATAAATAGCGGGAAAATGTGGTGAAGTGCTCTGTATCTCTTTTAATTGCCTTTTTAATGTCTGGATTGTAAAGATTTACAACCAAATTCAAACTCTGGTATCAAATTTTCAGCATATTTCATTTATCTTAACATTCTATTTAATGTGTCACATGATGTTAAGCTAAATAAAAATACCATTGTAAAAATAAATAAAAATACCATTGTGTTCTTCCCATTAGCTATATTAATCAGAATGCTATTTAATTTTTTTCCCATTAAGAGTAAATGTTAGAGGATTAATTTCCCTTAAAATTTAATAGATGTAGGGTGCCTGGGTGGCTCAGTTGGTTAAGCGACTGCCTTC